AATCATGGCTACACTTGAAGCCAACATTTACTTCTTTATCAGCAGAATTTGGGATCTCAGTGTTGTATTTCCTTATCTAAGTATCTGAAATACTAAAACTTCAGATAGCATAAATGTGTAAACATGTTCTCCATTAAAAATAACTGAATATTATACCACAGTGATGTTAAATTAAAAGGCAGGTCTGAAAGCAGTTTTAAAAGTTTTACATTAATAAAAAAATGATTTAGGACCATTCCAGGGAAGAATGACTTCTAGTTACCTTATGATTTCTTTTTCGTGTTTGAAAACCAGCCTTTAAGCCTTGTCTACTCACTAGAAAAAAAACACCTTATCCTTATTCTTTGGCATATGACACAGTTATGAAGATACATATGGAGGACAGAGGGAAGAAATTTGTGAAGTGTTCTGATCCAAAGTATGATCTTATTCTATATACATTCTTTTATGACCTTTATCAGCATGGTATTTCAATGCTTTCTGATAGTACAGTAGGAGACTGCAAGTGTTTTTCTAATGTTTTGCTTTACAGAAAAGGATTATTGCAACATCTTGTTCTTTATTCCCCACCCCATCCCCCTTTTTTTTACTATAAGTGTTGCTATGTTGCTTGAGAGAAGAGCAAGATTATGCTCTGATTTCTATTCTTCCCTTGACACCTGTAGCTGAAATAATAACATGAACAACCTGTAAGAAAGTTCAGGTGCTGCTTGTAATGAACAGTGCATTAGACCTGTAGTGTGGAAGGCTTGCAAAGTAGACTGCATACAGAATTGCTGAGTCTTTCTACCCAAAGCTATTGGCTGAAGTCCTTGAAGTTGTTAACACACATAGGCTTTCAAGTCCTGTTTTCAAAAGTGAATGTTGAAAAAATGAAAAGTGAAAAGTGAAAATTGATTCGAGTGCTTGCAAGCCAGATTTTTAGAAAGATAATGGGAATTAAGTGAGTAGGTACCTTCTCAAAACTGATTTTCCATTTGGTATATATAGCAGCTTATGCTACACATTTATTTGCAAAAAATGTTGGGAGAAGCTCACTTCCTCTAGAAGAGTGTAAAGTAAGTATACATAAAACCCCACAGTATTTTATAATTACATTTTTAACTATAATTAACAAGAAACGAAGATGGCAGAAATAAGGTTATGATAAACTCTGGTGGGCTGCTGAACTGACATAATTGCTCAAGTTTTTTAATTTGTTCAATTAAGTTCATGGTCCTTCCTAATGGATCCATTAGCTTTTTACAAAATGTCACATGTTGATCTCATGGAAAAATCAAATAGTCGATATAGGAAGCATGGTTGCTTCACAGCATAGCTGTTTGTGAGAAGGCTTGCTGGCAACTTCCAGTCAGAGGCCTAATTCTACACTGAGGTTTATCTTGTGGCTTTTTATTTTGCATTTGAACTCTTGCCAGAGCAAAAAGTCTTGCAGAATTACCTACTGCTGAACTGCATTGTAAAATTCAAAGTTATATCAGTCTTAATTTTGTCCTTTTGCAGCCAAAAAACAATTATTTTTATGAAATCTGACTGCAACTTCACAAGTTTATAAATTCTTCCTTTTTTTCCTTTACTGAGAGCCACTTCTCAGAGAGAATTAGTTTTCTATTGAAAATGGATCTGTGATCCAGTTTTCATTTGCTAGTGGTGGGGAAGGTTTTTGTTTGTTTTTATTAAATTTGGTGGCTCAAATTCAGCCAGTGTACTTTTCATGTCACCTTTGAGGTCAAGGTGAATTTTCACTTTGTTTTCAGCAAGGAGTGTTTGTCTCCTTCATGTGCTATAAACTACACTTTATTTTGGCTTTAGTGTTGACAACAATTATTTGGAAAGCAGAACTTTCAGACACTGCAAACCACTATGCTGTTCATTGAGATATGTGAACAAGTTAACCCAGTAGGCTGCTCTTGACAACAATAAGTCAGGCTCAGAGGAATGGGTGTTCTGAATTAAAATCATGGAAAATTTCTACTTCAGAGTAGAGCTCAAGGAGAGTTTATGTTTGCTTCCATGCAAGTGAGTCTTTGGTTGCTTCTGATGTCATGGCACAAAAATGAAAGTCACCTTGAGTTCAATGCTCCCGCTTTAGTAAAATTGAACAACGTTATGGCCAAATCCAGAATTAATTATCAGATAGGCATTTACTCGGTATTTCAGAATGGGTATTGTGTTAAAGAACTTGATTTTTTGCTGCTGCCTCCAATTTTGCCTGTGTGTTTGCATTCTGTTGGAGAACAGACCAGTGGAGCAGAACTGCTTCAGATCCTTGTCATTGATAGCCATAGCTGGTATTTTAAAAAGGTCTGGTGAATCTTGAGCTCATGTTTCTGATGCTGATCTTACCTGTGTCATCGAAAACTGTTTCCTGTGTGTCTATACTTGATAGCTCTGCTTTTTCTTAAATTAAGCTCATTTTCTTTCACAATTCAGAGTAATTGTAAGTAAATAGCCACTCTCAAATCTTCTAAAGCTCTTGCAGTGTTTTCTGGTTGTATCAGGAGTCCTACTAATAGTTCTGAAATTTCTTGGGCCTTCTTCTGTGTGCTTTATGCATGCTTTTTTTTCTCTGTATGTGTAAAATATATCGGGGAAATTTTCTGTAGGAGGGCAGAGAGATTGAACTTAGGGGACAAGGAAGGTGTCAAATCAATGTGTGGGTGATTCACCACTCAGTTTAGACAGCTTTGGCTCCAGCAGACATTTCGTTCCTCAGCAGCTCTAGACACCTTGGGTCCTGCTCTTTATATGGCACTGGGTATGTCTCAATCCACAAATTTTCCAGGTGCTAAGGCTGAGACTAGTCAGCTACCATTCTGCCTAAAGATTTACTGTCTTCCTAGTCTTATAGTCAAGCTTTTATCCATTACGTAAAATCTCCTATTTTCACCCACCCCTGATACACTTCAGACAAAAGGAACTCGCCACCATTTCTGAGCTCCTGTTCATTCACTCTACCCAGCAGGTACCACAGATGAGTGGCTCTTTTGGTTGGGTCCCCTAAGCAAGAAGGTGTTTTCAGGTGACATCAGGTTCTCCATTTATTTTGCTCTCTTCTATTACTGTGTTCTTGTTAGACAGGAGTGTTCCCAGCAATGAGAAATGGATCTGTACGGGTTTACCTTGGTAGCTTGAGCTGTGCAGCTTGGTACATGCTGAAGGCTACCCCTAGCAGAAGGCTAGCCAACCAGCTGTGTGCCAGATAACTGCCCACAGCCATCTCACACAAAGACAAACAAAATATTAATTAAACAAAATATTGTGCAAATGCCACTTTATTTAGCTGGAAGTGTCTGGGGGACGTGTTAGGTGTTGGTGCATTTTTTTTGAGCAGTCCAGTGCTCGTGACAACTGTCTGAAGGCAAAGGAGGTTTGCAAGCGGGGGAAGGGGTTAGATAGACCTTTCCAGCAAATATGGAACTATTTTTCATAATAATGTTTTCCAGATTTGGATCTTATACTTAGGAAGTGATGTAAGCATCACTCCTTAGGATAGCCCCAATATAGTTACGAAGCAATTCTGAGAATGATGTGATAAGGTGTAGCACGATGTTTGAAATTTCCTTAAAATGTGCTTTGTTTCCTGAAAGCTATAATATTCTTGTTATTTAAGTATATTCTCTGTCATATCAGTCTCAGTCCCACCTCAGAAAAAAACTGCCTGTGATTTCAAAGGGAGTTTTTGCCTCAGGTAGGGCTTGCAACATCAGGACCAGGAATTAGTGTAATGTGACCCACCATTTGTATTGCTTTGGGGTAAATTTAAGAGAGAAGATTTAACATAGTGTATGTCATGCTGAGATATTGCAATATCTCGGATGGGTTATTAGGCACTGATCCAAAGGTTAAGTGCAGCAACCACATGAGATGTGGCTTTATCCTTATATGATCTATGCCCGTGCCCGTGTTCTGTTTTGTAGTTACCTGAAGTGGGAATTATCACACATTTATAAGGCTATTGAAACCTATCCTAAGCTATTAAATGTAGTTTCAGGAGAAAAGTGTGTACATATTTATGTCCATTGAAATCTAGAAATCAGTTCTCGTATGTGTGAACTCACAGAAATTCTGACTCTAGGTCCAAATGTGCACCAGATAAATATTTACGACCTTTGGGAAAGTCTAGATATGAATTTGCAGTTGAGGATCTTTTCTAATTTATATGCATATATCTTTTTGTTTCTTATTTTCCATGCTGTTTTTGCTTGGCTTGCATTAAATAAAATGCTTCAATGGAGTGTGGTAGTCTAGCATTTGTTTTGCCTCGGGAGTAGATTGCCCCATCTTGCATATCTGGTCAAGTAAATTGCTCTCTTGCCTGCGTACTTCAATAATAGTACTGGGCTTCAGACCCTCCTGTACAACCCCCCAGTGAGCAGGGCCACAACGGGCTGGGCCTGCGTGGTGCAAACAGGCTTCTGTATTGTTATGGATGCATTCATCTCCTATTTGCATAAATTAATAGTTAAAACTTGCTTGGTTGCTTAAAAAAAACTCATTAGGCTTTGAAAGTAGCTGAATTATGAGCACTGTGGCAATCGCTCCTATTGACTTGTCTCCTGCTGGTTCACTGGGAACCAGTCCATCTCGGGGTCAGGTCCCTAAGTTTCATTGCAGTATTAAATAGATAACATTTAAAAGAAAATGCAAATAATCTGTTGAGTGCAAACTGTATGCTGGGGAACTTCCTTACACAAAAGAAGTTGTGTTTAAAATTTTAAAAGATAAAATGATATTTTAGTCGTAAGGGCTAATTTTTGCTTAGGAAATGAATCCTTTTTTTTTTTTTTTTTTTTTTAATCAATTTTCTACTAATCACTAGAGAATGTTTGACATTGTAAGAAAAAGGTCAGTTTGTATAACCTGCCATGGGAGAGGAATGCTTCGTGTGAAATCTTGGCCAGATTTTCTTCTTTGTTTTTATTAATTGAATATTCTACTTTACCTTTTTTATTTAGCATCTTCAATACATGATTTTTATTTTTCTTTGTTTTTTATAGACTGGAGAAAGAGAGCATTCAGCACAGCATTAGCAATGAAGCAAAGGCCCAAGCCCTTCAGGCCCAGCAAAGAGAGCAGGAGCTGACACAGAAGATGCAGCAAATGGAGGCCCAGCATGAGAAAACTGGTAGGTGGTAGGGAAAGATTAGAGCCTGGGCACTCACTCACAAGCCAGGCCCACGCCTTACTGTGAAATGACATCAGGAACACCTGTAACCTTTGGCTGGCCGAAGGGAGCAGATGCTAACTACACCGGAGATTCCGAATTACATATTAGTTAGCGTTTAAAAGAGAAAATGGAAAGTATTGCCCACTGTCTGTTGATTTCAGAGTGCTGCTCTCACATCTGTTGCACCATCTGGATTATGAGTTTATTTACCTGTGTTCAAGAAACGTAAAGCTGAGAGAGACCACAACAAAGTAGAAAAACAAAGGGCTTGTTTTTGGCTGGATTTTCAGGCACACATGTTATATAAAGAAAATAGCATCAGAAGCTCTGCGGGAAATGCTCTGAGCTTACAGTTAAAGTCTCCTGAATAGCATTGAACAGTTCCCACAGTACACACATTATAGCTACTCTAAAAGCTTAATGAGTTTGCTTCGGCATCCAAACTGGAGAAAAGCTTTAGCCATTAATCGGTTCTTAATTCACTGTCGCAGCTGGATGTAATTCACTGGCTCCAAATTGATATGTTCCTTTATTTAATCTTTGCAGCCTCAAACATTTTCAGCATTAGTATGTGTCCCCCCCCACACCCCTAATCTAGAAGAAAGATATTTAATCCCTTGCATACTTCAGCTTGTCATAATAGGAGACTCCACTGCACTGATTTAGCTGATCAATGACTTCTAACCTTTAATCTGGGAGTAAAATGGGTTTTACAAACCAAAAAAAAGCCTTTTGTCGTTGTGAAATACTATGCCAATAAAATTAATAAAATTCATTTTATAAACAAAAAATAATTTTTAGGGAGGAAATTTCTAACCTCTGAGCATGGAAAGGAGGAGGAGCTTCAGCTTTAATGGAACATGGTATATTCATATGTTTAATGAAATAGCATTATTATCCACCAGTCATCTAGTGCCTTCAGAAAAATGATGTTGCTTATATTACTACTAAGCAGTGCCAGCTAATGCCTGAGGTAGCAGGCACATTTACATCTTCCATCGATTTTTTTGCTTTTTAGCAACATTATCACACTACACAAGGACCTTATCTTGTGTTCAGGGAATGTAAACTGCTACGTTATGGCTACTATCTACACAGTAGGAGAAGAGAAGAAGCACTCAATCATATTTCACTGCTCTAGCCAGCACATCTGCATATGACCAAGTGTAATTTTGCACAAGAGATGTGTAATTTGCCCTCCTTGTGCATAAATTGTCCCAGTACACAAAAATGAAACAACATTAAGTTTGAGTATGTTTTTATATATTTGTAATAGGATTAGGAGTTGAAAATAAAAGTCATTTGTTATGTACATAAAGAAACCCTTGTGTATTATGATCTTCCATGCATATAGGAAATTTGGGTAACAGTGGTCTGTCTTTCTCTGAATGATTTTAAAAGAGGGAATCAAGAAATATAATTTTGCAATATCTTCCTTTTGGAAGAATAAAGGTCTTTATTTTTTTCGTAGTGAATTTTGGTACAGCACAAGCTAACAGTAACTGAAAATGAATTTATAAAATTGTTTCACTACAACTCTCACTGGACAGTAAGTCTATCTCATTGTTAAAGACCGAAATAAATTACAGTAAGCACAGGACACAGTAAATAAAATAACTGCTTTCTTAAATGACAAAATGAAATGAGTCTACAGTGTGAGCGTCTGGATTGCAAGTGTGTCCTCTGCACCAGTTGAGTAAGCAAAAGGCTGCTAAGGCATGGATTGCTAATTTTATTCCTTCCAGAAATATCAGTAAACTTCCAGCTAAAAAGCAAAACCACCAGATTAGATGCATAGTCTTCATGGTGATTCTTCTCACACAAGACCTTATTCAATGGTCACCTCACTTTAACACTTTAGCTTTAGCTTATTCTGACATACAGCCTTTATCTGATGAATGACAATGTTAAAATTCCATGTCCAGACAGTTGAAGCTTAAAAAAACATACCAACAACAGTGGGATCTAGACAAAAGAAATTAAGAATATATTAAATAGTTCCTAAATTCTCTATAAATTTATACAGTTTCAAAATATTTTTCTAGTTTTATAATTTTATAATTTCTAGTAAATGAACTGGACTCATTGCTGACCTCCCAGAATACATTCATAACAAAATTAAAGGAAGAATGTTTTTTGTTGGCAAGAAAGTTGGAACAAATATCAGAAAAATACAGGTTAGTATATTTTCTTATCCTGTCCCCTTTATTATTAGGATATGCTTCCTTATTTTATATTTGTACTTTAATATTTGTTACTACTCATGTTGTCCCAGGTATTACATATTTTCTCAATATAATACATGACATTTAAATAACGTGGATGCATTTTTCCAGGATAGTTCTACTTTTCTACTTTTCATGCAATGTTTCTGGCTATTAATTCAAATTTCCTAGATGATTCCAATGTAAAAATTGAGTACTGCATTTTTTCTGATGTTCTGACTCTCAATGTGAAAATTTGAAAATTGTTAATGGAGCTACAATTCTAGTTTATCTGAAATTATATTTAAAATACTAAATATTTTAAATTCTCCAATCTGTAGTATGTTGGTTAAATTATTTACTTAAAGCTTCATTCATAATACTACACACTGAATAATTATCTCTGAAAAAATTGTTGTCAAAATTGCTTGTCATTGAAGCTCTGATTCTGCTGCCACTTGTTATGTGGTGCTCATTAAAATCAATAGCAGGTCTAAATACAAAGCCATTGAAAATTCTGGAGTAGAATTAAAAACTAGAAGCAATAACTGGTTTCAATAAATGCAAACATATTAAGGTATATCTTTGAAAATTAAGTTCTATAGCACACAACTATTTAAAAAAAAATACAAATTCTGTAGATCCAGCCCTTGTATTCTTCACTAGTAAGTAATAGGATTTTTTAAGTGTGAAAATAGTCTTTTTGTAGAAACTTTCTGCAAGGTTTATATTTAGAGTACTAAACAGGGCTGAAATGGTGAGTTGGTATTCTGCAACTTGTGTAAGTTTCATGCAAAATGAATTTGTTAATTAAAGTAGTATTCATCTGACATGACTTATGTGAAGTAAGACAACACTCAGCAAAGGTAAAATTGGTTTTCAAGATAAGCTTTTTCTTCTGATGCATGGATTCAATCATCCTGTAGAGGTAATATAACAGGGTCAACACTCACTCAGGGACAGAGCTTATTTATCCCAGTATCCTGTTTTTGGGAATGGTCAAAAGGGAATGATACAAGTAGATGGCAGGGTAGACATATATATATGATGCTTCCTACAGGTACTGCCTCCACTATCCATCCTGCTTTTCACTGAATAAAAAGTGTTGACTAACTGTTAAGTGAATAAAGTTGGGAGATGAATCCCACCCCGAGTATTTGAGGAAGAAATTAGAAACTTGAAGAAATGTGAGTGACCTTCCCCTGCAAATGCTGTGGTGGGTATTCAAGAGAGAAGCAAACTGAATTTTTTCTTCTGAAAAAGCAGAGCTCCTCTGCCAAAGTAATACAAAATCTAAATAGATTCAAATCATATTATTATTCCAGCAATAAAAATGCACACAGACTTTGTTGCTAGAGCTCACAGTCACAGACTAGTAACTGTAAAAGGATGAAGGAAAGACAGAAAACATACTGTGAAAACACATTATTCTCTGAAAATAAATACCAGAGATTGCCAAGTGTTTCTCCACCTAGCAGCATTAGCTGACTATGTCAAGAACCTGGAAGGGGGAAAAGAAGCCCTCTTGGATCCCCACAAAGTGGTATACTTTGCACAGGGAATATGGAAGAATGTATGAAAGCAGTTTTGAGAAGTTGCCCAAAAATAGCTTGAGATTGCCTGCGCTGGAGTGGGTGCTGCTGCAGGCAGTAACAAGAATGGACAGATACATAAGGACAAAACTAGGAAAGCATATGAAAATGAGATCAGAAAGGTAGAACTGGAGATGGTGTAAAATGGTAACTTAATAGATGGCTTCAAAAATGATGTGATCAGAAGATCAGTTGCAGAAAATGACTTCAGCTAGGTTTTAAATGCATGATCCTTCTTTATCTTTTTGTAGTGCCTTTCCAAAAGGCAGTCCTCACACTCATCATCACCAGTGATAGTGTAAAATGCAGTTCTGACATAGAAAGTTATACCTTTTGTTCTCTGAAAAAAAGGATCATTTTAGAAAGATTTTATAACTTAGTTCTTGCGTACATTATTAAAAGCAGATCAAGCCTCTTTAAAACGAGGTGCATGAGTCAGTTTATTTATTTGTTTTGTTTCTTGATAGGAAATAAAGGGTCCATCTGTAATGAGAGACATTTGAAATTTATTTGTGAGAAGTGCTTAAGGTGGACACCTCTGTATTGTGTGTATGTTTTTATATTAAATACAGGTTTTCTGGTAAATCGAAACTGAAGTTTTCTTGTTTATATGTAAGCTGGAGCCATTTTTTTGTGAGCTAGCCCCTACATAGGATTAGAAAAACTTCAGAAAGACAGTGTCAGTTGAATTATAAACCCCTCAAGCTGTGCAGAAAGAAGATAGTGTCTGGGAAGGTTTTTGTATGCTTAGGCATGTTTAAAAATACAGTCCTTTGTTGATTTCTTCTCCGTTATTTTGTTCTTTTTTTTTTTTTTTCTCTGATTGTCACTATCTGAGTTTCTAGGTTGTGGATTAATGCTTAACACTGCCCACTGTGTATTTGTGATTTGCGTTTTGTAATTAAGGGGAACAATGGGAGTCCATTGGGTCTCGTTATATATAATGGTTGGTTTAATTTGTTTCACTTCTATCTTGTTAATTGTAAATTGATCATTAAGATTTGAATTCTAATCTGTCACCAGGGTTGTGAGTATTGAAGCTAGAGCAATGATCCTGGTTTTAATCACTGATGATGAGAAACAAATTTTATAATTTTGGTACATATTGCAGTTCATATATTTTAACACTGTATTTTATGGTGTTATAAATATTGTTAAATGACTTTTAGTGTAGTTTTACTGTTTGGACTATAATGTATAAATTATATTACTGTTTTGGCAACAGTAGGCATCCAACTGTGTGAGTTTAATTGAAGTAAAGAACACACACCCGGCTGAACTATTTTTCTGCATGTTTGGTTGACTGCAGTTATTGCGCTCAGTACCAGGGGTAGCGTGTTTGCTGAGGGTAGCTGTACGAGGATGTGCAGCAGAGTCTGTCTGCAGGATGAGTCATTAAAATTACATGCAATGATACTCGTTGTGATAGCAGAAAATATTTTAGAGTATATATGTAATTGCTATGAAAGTAAATAATAAGCTTTAAAGCAGGAAAAGACAATGCCTTAAAAAGCACTGTGCTGTGAGTCCAAGTGCTGCAGTGCAAAAGATGGTTGAGAGGAATAAAGGCAGTGTTGCCACCTTCACGTTCAAAAATCAGTTCATCCTAAAAATATCCTAAGTCCGACTTTAAATTATGGCTATTTATTATTTGCTGGTTCTTTGCCTCTAATCTGAATGTTTTGGTTGAGCTTGGATTTTTTTTCCAAGATTTTCCCAGCAAGAATTGGGGGGGGTAAAAACTGACATGTAATTTGCTTTTTTACCTAGTAATTGAGGCTTTTGTGGTAGATGGCTGGATCCAGAAATAGAGGGTTTTTTTCTGTGGTTGTGCCCCCTGGCATCATCAATAATTTTGAAGATATCCCATTCCTAATATGATGGCTTATGAGCAGAAAAGCATTTACGCAGACTATGTACTGCCCCTGGCTGGGTGGAATTACTACTCATAGTGTAAATTTGCTCTCGCTGTCATAGTGCAGGTGTTCGGGCTCCTTACAGGTTTGTTTTATTACTCAACATTTTGAAATTTCTTAAAAACCACATAGAATTAACTTCAGAAGCTGAGATTGTTGAGTGGTTTATTTAAAGCTACAGGAGGAATCGTTGTCAGATGATGATGCAAACTGTCAGTATGCAGTTGTGTATTGGGTCCAGTGTTCTCTTTTTAATGCCAAACAACTTTTCTACATTGACTGCAGTATGCATTCTGTCCTTGTGCTGTCCTCTAAAATTTCAGTGTTATGAAATACTTGGATCGGGATGTTCAGATTCTTAAATATTTCAGTTAGAGTGGCCATTCTGTAAATAATATTTTAATTTTAATGACTTTTTTTATTGAGTTCCTCAACTCAACAAAATGCTTCAATTCTTTTAATTATATTACAAAAGGTCTAGAAGAGAACACAAGTAACATGGTTCAAAGCATCAGGTGTTTAGAGCTGTGTATTAGAGATAAGAGGTCATGCTACTCATGTTCTCAATGAATTCAGTGCTTTCTTTTGTTTCTTTAATGGTAGTTTTCAGTAGCGTTTTGGTTGGTTTGAAGCCCTTGGTCTTCCCAGAAAGACTTCCTGCACCTTCAAGTGCGCTAGAGACGAGCAAGTCCCTTCAAAACTTTCAGATTTTTACCTCTTTGAAGTTGCTTCTGCTGTATCCGTGAATCAGAGAGCCACATATAAATACAGAAAAAGAAGCAGGATCCCACAGTTGGGAAACTCCGTCAATGTGATAATCTACAGTATTCCTACCAGGAAAATATTGCTGTTGCATTTTCCTGGCAAAAAAGGAACGCAAGATGGCAGATGAGTTTAATCCCTGTTAGCACTTGCTTGGGCTCTGTTACATCAGGTTGCTGGTGAACTGCTTTGCAACAGACCTTTGCTTTTATCCGCTGATTGTCTCTCACAATGTCAGTATCAAGAAAAGGCTGCATTCATCCTGTGTGATAAGAATTGGTCCAACTGACAATACTTTTTGATGCTGAGATTTCACAGCTACCCATATTTCTGTTAAAAGGCAAGAATTAGACTTCAGTTACCTCTCCATAACAATCCTGACCACTGTTAGGCATCCATCCAGGAAACTCTTGTGCATTTAAGTTTGATGTGAACATTGGTGTGATTCTGATGTATTTTTTGGTGATCCTTAATAGAGCTGTAACTCCGTATGTAAATTCAATTGTATACAGTCTTCTTCCAAAGTTGCCCTTGCTAAGTTCTTTCAGATTCACAGATGATATCATGTATTGTTCTCCATTTAAATATGAAAAGATGATGTTGTCATTTCCAGATCTGACTTGTCAGTGTAACAACATGTTTTGAAGGAGGAGTATTCCATTCTCCCTGCACTTTGTTGTGTTTTTCAGAATGTCAGTTGTTGTTGCATTCTGTAACAGCCAGGAAGGTAAAGTCTCTTCATTCTGTAACTGCAGCATATTTAAATTGATGATTTAAAGATATCTCCGAAGCTTTTTAACCTCAAGATCTGGAGTGGCAGATGCCATAAAACAAATTTGCTTGCTTTTGATTCTTACGTTCTGATGGTATAGCAGATTCTGACATGTTCTCATTAACCTTTTCCAAAGAGTTAAACTGTACAAGTGCATAATGTATATTTTATCACAATTTTATCTGAGATCTTTTCCTGATATTAAGAAACAGCTCATGCCTGTTTCTCCATGGGCTGATGGTTAGAGATATAGCAAGTAACAGTCCCAGGTCATTCATGGATCTGGTGTCTCTGCTCACCCGTGAAGAATAAGAATTGCTAGAAGTGACTAATTTTCTTAAAGGCTGTGCTGAGTCTTATGTAGATTAGAGTATGCCTGTATGATTTGTACCTTGTTTTTTTAAGATTTATTCATTTTCCTCTTGATGTTTTTTATCTGTGTAGTGGTATTTGGGCATGTTATGTTAATAAATTTTCTAAAACATTAGTACTATTGAGAGTTCAACCTGTACAGTGCTGTAAGGGTTGAACAAGTTTTTAGTAGTGATTTTTAAAATTAGATGTTAGCTTTTACCAATAAAGAACTTGAAATTTATTGTCAAAATGCTGGACAAATTTTTGCTTAACAGGTATGAATTTACATTTATCAATGATGTTTAATATCAGTGCCTAATGTCAAATGAGATGACTGTTTAAATTCCTCTGGAACAAGCATAGCCAACCTCTGACTGAGTAAATGCTACTGACATATTTCCCAAATACACTGCAGCATCATGTTCTTCCACCTTAAGATTATTTGAAATAGTTTCTTGTTTCTGTAAGTTCTAGTAATAGCCTGTTTATGCATTTTATATACATGTATGAAATTTTATAAATGCTGAAGCCACATATTGATGGCACGCTGCAGGATGAAATCTGACAACATCCATCATCACTGTGTTTTACTTCTGTAGATCTGAAGTCAACCAGCTTAGTCAGGAAAAAGAGTATCTTCATGGCAGATTGGAGAAGATGCAAAAACGGAATGATGAATTGGACCAACAATGTATCCAGCATGGGAGAATGCATGAGAGGATGAAGTCGAGGTAGGAGGTCCTGTTAATCTGTCAGTATGTGGTACGCTCTACTGTACCTGTTGTGTTCTGAACATAAAAATGGCACTAGATTGCTTGAAAGTAATGTTCTTGCTTTATGAAAATGACCACCCGTTCCCCCTCCTCAAGCATTCTGTGAAGTTGTGTGTTTTTTTTCATAACATCTTTTGCTTGTGCCATTTTGGATAAATAAAACGAAAGCTTGAACAACATAGTCTTCCAAAGAATTTAAGCCTAGTACATATGTGTGTGGGCTGCTTCGGCTGTTCTCTGCTCTAACTTGGATGAATTGTCTTACCGTATAAAAAAAAAAGGGAGGGGGGGGGCAGGGGGGTGAGAAGAGGGGAGGCTATTCAGTAATGTGAATGTAGGCTACAGATGTGGATTCTGTAAGGCCATGTAATATGTTCTTCAGTATCGCCATTTTACCTTTATCAATAATATTTAACTTCTATAAACAGAAAAATCTTTTTGAAGGTCTTAGTATCCAGAGAGCTATTAACAGCTTCCAGGTGCCCCTAGCCTTTTCAGAGGGGTGGTGACTCCAAGAGCTGGGAGCAGCTACTGCAAAACTCATGGGGATATTTCCACTGTTACCCAATGACTGTTCTGGCCACAGTGTCCAGACTGGTAGTGTTTTTGTGCTGTGATTTGTGTCAGATAGCCTTGAAGATCACTGGGGAGACTACTCTTCTCGGTACCAGAAAGCTCATCTGTGCCCTCTTGCTCTTTTTTCCTCTCTGTGTATTCAGACATCAAAGTTTGCTGAGGCATGGTTGAGGGGGTAGGAAAGATAAAGAAGGGAAATAGCAAGTGCAATCCTAGTCAACCAGGCAACCTCTTGTCAGTAGTGAAAGGCAGAGTACAGTTTAAGCTCATTTGGGCTAAGTAGTCCAGCCAGGGCAAAAGTTTGTTATTCTTGACCACTGACCACCTGACAAGAACAGAGTTTGCACATACTGAAACATCCAGTCTTGTATGATCACTTTTTTTTTCCAGCTATTGACTTTTTATCTCCATCTTTTCATTATCTGTCTGTCCATTTTAACATCTTTTTTTTTTCACTCTCCCTGCTTTCTTTTCAGTCTTCCAAGCCCCCTTCTTTCCTCTTCCTTTTCAGATTTGTCTGAACCTCATCCTGTTCCGCCGTACCCCAGAATTACCATCATTTTTTATAGCTCAGAGAACAAAGAAACTCCAGATACTACAATTGTGTCCCTAGTCTATGTGACCACATAATTTTTCCATTGATCTCACCTCTTTCTCCCCACCCACCTCTTTTTTTTTTTCTTTTGTGTGCAGTAGATTCTCAGCATTTGGGGGACACATGCACTGAGGACTCTGTTACTTTTAGGGGGGAGAATATAAATTTTTTTTTTTTTTTTTTTATTCCCTAGTTGTTCCCCTGTAGCACTACTAGTATCTGGGTGGATATGAGAACTCTTTGTGAGTCTCTTGGAGAGTCTTTCCTCTATGTAAGAGCCAAATAGACCTACTGGAAAATGTTGCTTGTTCTCTGCTACAGCAGCAGTGACTATACACTAGAAAAGATTGAAAGCATTAATCCAGAACAGAAAAGTGGTTTGAAAGCAGAGTGGTCATGCTGCAGGCAGTGCCCTACCTTCTGCTGCTGTTTTGATGATGGCAAGGAGAGAAAACAGGACAGTGATGGTATTTGTCATATTTAATATTTTAGAATATTTAAATATGGCAGAGATTTATCAGGCATTTGAATCACTGACAGTATAGGTTAACAACATTTTCAGAGGGAATTCTTTTAACATTTTTAATTATGTTCTTACTCTGTATTTATTTAAAATCTAGGTAATTAACGACAAGGCTTTATAATGACAAGGCTAATAAACAGCTTTAAAAATTCAGTGTAATCTGATTTTAGCTTCCATGTGAAAATTATAATAGTTTTCAGTATCAGTTCCCTATAAATCAGCTATGAACTATTCAGTTCTAAGTGAAGAAAAAGGTCTTTTCCAACCTTAATGATTCTACAATTCTACGACTTCTACCACATAAAAACCAATGATTTTTCCTCTTCTGATTTTTGAAACTAGAGATCTGACTAGGGTATGTAGCAATTGAGAGAAGAACAAATACTGATGTGCTTTGCCTCAGATTTCCATCCATCACTCAGATACTAATAATCACAATTTTAAGGGTGATTATTTCTTGTCACAATTATTTGCTGCCCATTTTTATGCAGCTACAAATAACCCTGGTAGTCTTGCAACACAATAACATGCAGTGGGTTCCTACCCAATTTCCTATCTGTTTTTATTCTGCCTCTCTTTAGATAGTTTCTTGTAGCAAAATTAATTTGACTTAATTTTGGACTTAACATTTGCATTTGAATCATATGAAATTGTGCCATTTGTACCTAAGAAATCTTTGTCACTACTTCTGTTCTGCTATGAGAGCACGAAGGCCCTGCTGTAACTATTTTGTGGAAGGAACGAGATCTAATTGATCAATCAGAATTTATTTTGAAGCAACGTTTGGACAGTTTTGATATTTACACTGCTGAAAATGAACAAGATGACTTTTTTGCCATTCCCATCTTTCAGTCTGGCTATATGCTACATATGCGTATTGTCTGGAATGATATAAGGAGGCTTTAAAGGAAAGGGTTGCTTTAAATTACAGTCTTTAAAGATGATTTAAAATTAGTCTTTTTATGTAATGCAAATATCCATCCCTTTCAGTGTTTTTGCTCACTGAAATGCAGTTTTAAAAGAAGTAGTTGTCCATCTAAATGACACAGAGGACACGTGCTATTGGAACAAACTTATATTGAAAGGTGCAATTTGCAGGACTATGGTGACAGGTTAAGACTGCAGTGGAACTTCAGAACAGGTGTTCAATTAATGTTGTTAATCTAGCAACCCCGAGGATCTTTGCTTTAGATCTGTGTATGATTTTTTACAGTAGTTTATTCTTGATTTGGTATTTTTGTACCTATGTGCTTTTCATTTTAGACAGTGCTTTAACTGCTAAGCACATTATCTCAAAAATATTAGGTAGTATGGTACAGGGCTTTGCCAGTGGAAATGAGCTGGTCAGTGTGGGTGCCTTTGCAAGGCTGAATCTTGGAAAAATAAAATGTCTGTGGTGTAGCAAAGAGCATATTGATGTAAATTTTCAACCTGAAAGCCAATTTTACAATTAAATTCTTCAAATTCCTATTCTGTAGACGTGCATTCATAGTAGAAATGAGCAATAGTTTGTATGCTTACATTAAGTATAAGGCCCTTTTGAAATATTGTTAATAAAACATAAAGCTGTAGGCTTCTAATTAGTGTTTTCAGAACTAATTTTAACTAAATTTAGTAAATGGGATTTAGAGCTATAAGTTTTTCTGAAATTTCCAATTTTGGTGGTTGGAATTGATATATTTTGTTGTGGGTGCTCACTGTTCAATCTATGCAACATTAACAATGCATTTTACACAACGGGGTAAAACTGGGGCTTTTTGCGGTGGTAATTTGGGGAGTTGATGGTAATGCATTTGTTTTAACTGTATTTTTGGTAGCTAAAGTTAAAAAGGAGAGCCTACAGGACTGGCAGTTTGGGGCAGATGTGTGTCTATTCCTCAGGCATCAGTGGTTGTAAGTTAACTATAAAAATGTTACAACCATCTGTGTAACAAGACGGCAGAGATCTGCTCTTGCCTGTTACTATAAATAAGAAGGAGATTTGTTTGACTTCATAGACATTGGATTTATAAAGACTATATGTGTCAAATTGTAACTACGTGCCATGTTGCTGAGATGTGTCTGCAGCCAACTACCTGGGGTGCCTTCCCCTTCAGACATGGTAGAGGAGTGCAGCAACTGTGCCGAAATGTCTGTACAGCACAAGATGTCACAAATTATATTTGTTTTCCACCTATGGGGAAATGTATGATTCTTACGGGGATAAGCGTATGTGGAAGACTTGCTAAAATGGATCCTTAAGCGGACCTCTATAGGAGTTAGGGAGAATAAATGATACTGACTTCGACAATGACTTTAATGTTCTTCCACCATTCATTTTATTGCTGTTGTTACTAAGTGAATAGTGTTTGAGAGATTGCATATGCATGAGAGAACACAGATTTATGAGAACTGAGGCATATATATCGAGATTATACCAGCTATTTCAAGTAGCTAATACATGTGAAATCATGAGAAGTGGTTTGCTGTCACCATTACAATCTGAATAGAGATTTTGGGTTTCTTTAGTAATTCTCCAGTAGAACAATTGGTTGAAATTATTTCTTGATAACTGAAGCTAATAAGTTGCACTGCATGTTTTACATTTTTCTTGTTAAAGATCATGATGCCTTTTTGTTTTTTCAAGAAATGATGATGGGTGGAAAAACTCAGTTTTGACCGTTGCTTAAAAGGCCTTTATTTTTCTTTCAAAACCAGTTTGTTCTTTGTTGAATATATTGTCTTCCCTATTTTTGTTGTACTGATAGGTTAGTATTAAGTAATAATGAAGCAATTGTTACTTTCTACTCACTAGACTAAGCATCTGTTTTGAAATGCAATTATAGAATAAAAGCTGTATTAAGTTGTGGCTTTTTAGTTTAAAAGGCATTATTTTTTATATTGAAAATAGTGATAAGTATATGTATTGTCCATAACATCTTTGATTATTAGAATTGCCTCAGTGTTTAAACAGCTTTGCTTTTTCCTGAGCATCCTTATTCTTCCCCACGTATCTTTGGTGTGGTTTCGCTGTAACAGGATTGCTCCAACAACTGGAGATAGAGTTGTTTGTGTAGCCTTTCATTCAGTGAGGTGGTAAAAAGCTTTGTGGTCAATGCATTCTGCATTGCAGTGCAGCCAGATAAAACTCTCAGCTCTGTCCAGAATTTGGGGTTATCATTCTTACTTATTTTTTATTGCTATTTAATAGACTCACATTTTAGGTTGAGAACCGTATACTCCAGAGAAGTACTGTAGAAGTGATCTACAAATGTTGTGTATACG